AAGAAATCACGGCACTCAAACCTTCCAACTTCCCTTTCACTGAGCTCAACTTTCCTAACTTTTATTACGCAGTTATCCATCAACAGGTAACTACACGCGGCTACAGCTAGTTAGCGCTTAGCATTCAGAGTGAAACTGCCTTCTTCAGAAAGAGGTGCATTTCCCCTGAAGGGGGGGGGGGGGGTCTCGTGAGCAGCGTGAAGTTAGAAACGCGAACTTTTCGAGCAGATATGAAGAAAACACTTGTAGTTACACACTTGTAACAGCCCGGGGGTCGCCCGGGTGAGTGGACGCTAGCCTCCACGCTACGTGACAGCAACACAGGTGTTTGTTTACTTGTTTATTTGTGGCAGTGAGAGGAAACAAGCAGCGAAGAAGCGCTGGAGACAAACTCCGAGTGTGTGTGTGTGTGAGAGTGTGTGTGAGAGTGTGTGTGAGCGGCAGCGACACAGGACACAACAAAGCTAACGTTAACATTAGAGTGATAATAGTGAAACTTACCAGAATGAGGGGCCACGCGCTTTACGGCAGCTCGAACGGGCGCACGCGGAGGTACCGATTCGCTCGTGCGGGTGGAGGACGAAGCCGTGCACGCGAGTCCGCTGTGTGAGGCGAGAACGCGTGCGACAACAAATCACAACCGTAAACACCAACAGGATCACTCCGCCCGAGGTGGAGGAGGCGGAGAGGGGACTAACTAACTAAGTTAACTAGCAGCAGACGGGAGCGATAGTCTTACCGAGGGCGTCGAGGAGAAAAAGAAGAAGAAGAAGCGAAAAAAAAAATGGAGTTGGACGCTCGCTGCCTCCCAGTGTGTCTCGCCCGAGCTCCCCTTCTTTAATGTTGTTATTAGATTTTAACACGGAGAAGAAGAAGAAGAAGAGGAGAGAGAGGGAGAGGATGAGGAGGAAAAAGGGAAAGAATCGCGGATTTGGATGTTGTTGTTTTGATGTTCCAAGTCCGTGACGTCATATCCACCTGCTGGGTAAACAACGTTCAGCGCAAACACACACATCGCAGATCCTTCACATGCAGGAACATCACGGTGCACGAGTGCAACTTAGTAGTGGCTCCTTTCAGTGTGCGTGTGTGTGTGTGTGTGTGTGTGTGTGTGTGTTGGGGGGGGGGGTAATGATATGCATTAGTTTTAGCAGAAAGTGTGACAGGAGAGAGGGGGCTGTCAGAAAAGCTAAAATGTCTGAGCTGACTAATTACAACTGAGGCTCAATGAACTTCTATTATTTCACACGAATTCTCATCCATGGCTTTTTTTTCCATTTATCTGAGGTTCATCATGAATGGTCCGGAGCTTTGCAGCAGAAAGATGAAATGCTCTGATGGTTAATAACTTCTCTGATATTATGGCGGAAGCAGGTTCTTTCTGTTTTCTGTGCTAAAACTCTTATCTCACCTGTGGCCCAACTCTTCATTGCATCTTTAAAGGCAACGTGACTGCAAATACATTTCAGCAAAAGTTAGAAAGAAACTCAGCTTCAGCTTCTTTTTCTTTCAACTTTGACTGATCCCTAAACAGCCTCCTGTCACAGAGAGAGTGCAGGGAGAATGATCACAGTCCAGTTAACACTCGGTTTTAAGGAATATTCATTTGGTTAATTTTGCAAAAGCACAATAGCCTTTAGTCGCCCATCAGGATATGCCATATCTGACCTGTGGGCCAACTCTTCATAGTATTTTTAAATGCAACATGACTGAAGTTATTTAGAATCATATCTTCACTTTTGTCCTGTTAGAAAGTTTTTGATTCCAGCAACACTTGTTTTAAAGCAACATTAATTTTGTCTTCAAAAATTATTTTAATTTGTTTGTCCTTGTTCAAATCTCTGCTTTCCAGAGAGGACTGTAATGCAAAAAGCACAATAGCCTCTAGTCACCAGTTGGCTCTGTGAACCATTAGAAGTCCACTATCAGCTGATCTAAGGTGGCACATAGGCTCTCAGGGAGTTGGAAGGTTGTTGATATACAGAGGGGCTTGGATGTTTAAAGCCTTAAAATACATTTTTCAAATATTGAAAATCAATATAAAAATGAACAGGGGGCCAATGCAGGGAGGTGAAAATGTACACTTCTTCTTGAATCTATAATCATATAGCAGCATTTTGGACCAAGTGAAGAGTGTTCTCTCAGTTTGCTGTGCTGACACTATATCTGACCTGTGGGACAACACTTCGTTGTATTTTAAAAGCAACATGACTTCACATACACTTCAGCAATAGTTATTAAAAGAACAATCTCTGAACGTTTTCTTTGCTGCTGGAAAGGTTTTGCTGATTCCTAAACAGCCTCCTGTCACAGAGGAAGGTGCACAGGCATTATGACAGTAATTAAAATCTCTTGTCACTTGCCCCTGAAGAGGAGAATTATCATGGGCCGGTTCAACAGTCCAGTAAACACTCGTTTTAAAGCAACATTAATTTAGTCTCACGAGAAAATCTTCTAAGTCTGTTTTTTTTTTTTTTGTCTTCTTTTTGTCCTTGTTCAAGGTCTGAGAAACACAGCTCATTTCACTGTGAACGACGTTACATCTATCATGGCAGCTTCTGGGAGAAATGTGCTGCTGAACCCTGCGAGGGAAGACTGTTTGTTAGTAGACAGCGCCACCCTCTGGCCATGTGTCGAAATACCATGTGTCCACAGAGCAACCATTTCTTCTGTACCACGTAAGTTTGTGGTGATTTAAGATTGAGTGTCCTATTTTGTGGACCATTACATTTATTTTACTTACGTATTTGTTTTGTAACATTAACCCTTCATTGTATGTGTTTGGCCAAACACCCAAGTGTTTACCTGTCTCTCACAGACTTCAAATTAAAACATGGTCTGAACAAAACAAGTCAGTGAACTTCACAAATTATACTGATGATAACATATTCCTAAATTAATTTGAATAAATTATTGATAGGTTCCAAAAATGTCTCTCAGACATCTGGACTAATCTATTTCATTTTAATTCTTCCTCCAAAGAAGTTATGTTTTCACGTGTCTTTCTGTTTATTTGGTTGTTGGTTTATTTGTTAGGAAGTTTAAACAAAACCTGCTGAACTGATTTCCACCAAGTTAAGTGGAGAGATGGCACCTGGACCTGAGAACTCTTTTCAGTATTGACTTGGATGTGGATTGAAGGGTGTGTTTTCTCCTTGTTTTAATAATATTTTTTATGATAAATCATTAGTTTAGATTATCAGAGATCGTTTATATCACTACTGTGTGTTAGTACCGTGTTATTACTTATCATGATAATCACTGTGTGGTGGTCAGTATATTCTGTGTCATGCGGGAGTTCACTATTTTTCTTTTAGGACCTGAGTTAGAATTGTGCCTCTTCTTAAAAATGTGTGGTTGATCACTGGACGCAGAAACACAATCCTCATCAAGCTTCAGGCTGGTTGTCTGTGACCAAACAGCCCTTTGATATGAAACAAAGTTCTGCTCTGTGGGGAATCGGACACGCCGACACTCTCACAGTGAAGGAGAGAAACAATCATCCTCACACTTTGGTTTGTCTTAATTCATGCGACACCACTGTGACACAGAAGAAAGCCTCACAAGAAAAAAACATACAGTTTCCTGTTACTTTCACATTATCAGTACGAAAGAAGGACATTACACACACATCAGGTTTTAAGGCAAGGAATTTGGAAGAAACACATCTTTATATATCAACAATTTTAAACTATTATGTTAAAACTAGTTAAATTATCAAATTAATAAATTAATCATATTAATTGTGTGTGTGTGTGTGTGTGTGTGTGTGTGCACAGAGCAACAGAGACAGCATGTGTGTCATTGGCTATCTTTGGGGACAAATTTCAGATTAAAGAACTTGGAGAAGCCTTATAATAATAATAATGATAATAATAATGATAATAGTAATAAGCTTTATTTGTGTAACACTTTTGTTTGTTTCAAAGTACTTTTTAAGAAGTAAAAAAAAAGTAATAGTGCATTAACAGTGTTTGCCCAGCTAAAAGTACCACCATATTCCCACTGTAAAGATGGCCTGTATGTATGGTAGCAAGTAGCCTGGAGGCAAAAATATCAGTATGACCTCAGGGCCAATAAGTGAGAGCAACAGTGATAACTGGTAAGTCTGGAGAGTTGGATGTAAACCTATGAATTAGGAAACACAACACACATGTATTCACATAAACCCCAAACCAGACCTGAAATAACTGTACAATGAATATATAAAAAATAATAATTACAATGCATACTTGTTTCTTGAAAGGG